CATATAAGTGGCAAAAAATGAACTTGGATGCCAATGGAAAAGGAATATTGCCATAGTTTTGGCCACAAACCAATTCCGCCGATTACGGCTAAATTAGAGAACTTACTTTTGTGCTAAAAGGAGCCCCCTAGCCGTACTTTGATTTCTCTTCTTTTTCGTTTTGATCTAAAAAGTGCGAAGGGTAAGAGCCTAGTAGGATCCGCTTAGGTAGCTGGAACGTAGGGTATACATCAGTGAGGAGAGATGTTGATATCCTATGTGTCTAAGAAACCAAATGGAGGAACATAATGTTAAGGAGTTGGAGGATTCCGGCTTCAAGTTGTGGTACACCGGGACAACTACAAACAAAAATGGAGTAGGTATCTTGATCAACAAGAGCCTCGAGTATGGTGTGGTAGACGTCAAGAGGCAAGGAGACCGGATTATCCTGGTCAAGCTGGTCGTTCGGGACTTGGTTCTCAATGTTATCAGCGCGTATGCCCCATAAGTAGGCCACAATAAGAGCACCAAGAGGGACTTCCAGGAACTTTGGGAGGACATGGTAAGGAGTGTATCTATTGGCGAGAAGCTCTTCATGGAGACCTCAATGGCCGCGTGGGTACATCTAACACGTGGGTACATCTAACACATGTTTTGAAGGGGTGCGTGGGGGCTTTGGTTATGGCAGCAGGAATCAAGATGGGGAGGATGTCTTAAGCTTCGCTTTAGCCTACAACATGACCGTAGCTAACATCCTCTTTAGAAAGAGAGAATACCACCTAGTGACTTCCAGTAGTCGTCAACACTCTAGCCATATTGATTTGGTCCTCTCGAGAAGAGAAGACAAGCGTGCTTGCCTAGATTGTAAGGACATGTAGAGTGTTGTCCCTCAACATAAGCTTGCGGTGGCTGACTTCCGCTTCTGAATTTGTGTCCATCATATAAGCGAGCCAAAGTCGCTAGAACGAAGTGGTGGAAGCTCAAGGGAGAGGCACCTTAGGCTTTCAAGGAGAGGGTTATTGAGGAGGGCTCTTGGGAGGAAGGAGGTGACGCAAACAATATGTGGATGAAGGTGGCGACTTGTGTTCGGAAGTTGGCTTCAGAGGAATTTGGGGTGACCAAGGAAAGTAGAAGCGAAGCTAAAGATACTTGGTAGTGGAACAACGATGTCCAGAAGGCGTTTATAGGAATTTTGAAAGAATTCTATAGGATAGCAATTTTGTAGGAAAAATTCCTTTGAAGCCCTTTGGTTTTTAGGAATTGATTCCTATTCCTATGAAGGATAAGAACCAATCTTTCACGTTTCAAAGGACAAAAAAACATTAGCCTAATGGAAAAATTCCTGTCCTATGAGTCAAATGACATCCCTTTCCCTATAGGAAATGAGATACATGCCATCTCGCTTCCTATGGTTTTCCTATTCCTATGATATTCCTATCCTATAAGGAGGCCTAAGGAGACTGACTGTTTCAGAAGCCTACACCTGGATAGGAGTGTGGACAACATAGTAGTGGCGAAGAAGACTGCAAAGTGAGCTGTGAGGGAAGCAAGGGTGTACGAGGACCTCTACTAGCGTTTATACATGAAGGCGAAAGGGACATCTATAAGATGGCCAAGATATGAGAGATGGAGACGAGGGATGTCAACCAAGTCAAATGCATCAAGGACGGAGCAGATTGTCTTTTGGTGAAGGACGAGGAGATCAGGCATAGATGCAAGAGTACTTCGACAAGTTCTTCAATGGAGAGAATGAGAGCTCTGCAATTGAGCTGGACGACTCCTTTGACGATATCAACGAACGTTTTGTGTGACGGATCCCGGAGTATGAGGTCATGGAGGCTTTAAAAAGGATGAAAGGAGGCAAGGCGATGGGCCCTGATTGTATCCGCATTGAGGTGTGGAGAGGCCTCGGAGACGTAGCAATAAGATGGCTAACTGAGCTTTTTAGCCTCATTTTCCAGTCAAATAAGATGACCATGACCGAAGAATCGAGGCAGAGTATATTAGTACCAATCTTCAAGAATAGGGTGTGTGTGTGTGTGTAAGGTTGTACTAATTACCGTGGAATTAAGTTGATGAGCCATAACTGAAGCTATGCGAGAGTCATTGAGCGCCTCTCAAGAAGAATGACAGGCGTGACCAAAAATCAGTTTGGTTTCATGCCTGGGACTCTGAGAGGTCGACCATGGTTTATTTTCTTGGTACGAGAGCTTATGGAGAGATACATGGAGCAAAAGGACCTGCATATGGTGTTCATTGACTTGGTGAAGGTCCGTCTCCAGATGCACCTAAGGAGGCCTAAGATACCATAGAATGTCATGTGGTAGGCCTTGGAGAAACACAAGTCCCTACAAAGTACGTTACCCTCATCAAGGACATGTACGGTAATGTTGGGACAACTGTTCAAACAAGTGATAACGGCACGGATGACTTCCTAATTAGAATAGGACTGCACCAAGGGTCAACTTTAAGTCCTTATTTTTTTTGCTTTGGTGATGGATGCGGTCCCAAGGGATATACAAGGTGATATCCCATGGTGTATGCTCTTTGTGTATGATGTGGTGCTTCTCGACGGTAGTTGGAGGGGGGTTAATAGAAAGTTAGAGGTGTGGAGACAGACTTTGGAATTGAGAGGTTTTAGGCTTATAGTAGAATTAAAACGGTACGTGAGGTGCGCTTTCAATACTATTAGCCACAAGGAGGTTAGCCTTGATGGACAGGTGGTATCTCAGAAGGACAAATTTCGATATTAGGGTTCAATGCTGCAGAAGGATGGTGATATCGATGAAGATGTGAGCCATCGAATCAAAGCTGGATGGAAGAAGTGCTGCCAAGCTTCCTCGGTGAATAGTGCCACAAAAGCTAACAGGCAGGTTCTATAGAACAGCAATTCGACCTGCGATGTTGTATGACACAGAATTTTGGCCAAATAAAAGGCGACATGTGCAACAGTTAGGTGTAGCAAAGGTGCTCATGTTGACATGAATGTGGTCACACAAGAAAGGATCGGCCAGGAATGATGATATACGTGATAGCCAGGTGGCACCGATTGTCCAACATCATCTGGGATGGTTTGGGCATATACAACACTAGGGCTCTAGAAGCACCAGTGCATAGCAGACGGATAAATCGTGCTGAATTGCTGGAAATGCCAAGATAGTCGGGGTCATAAAGAGAGATCTGAAGGACTGGAATATCACCAAAGAACTAGCCATGGACGGGTGTGTGGAAGGAAGTTAGCTATCCATGTGCCAGAATTATGGGTTTCAGCTCTAGCCTACCCCAACTTGTTTGGGACGGAAAGGCTTTGTTGTTGTTGTTGAATCTGGAAAATATATAACCAAATGTGGAAGCCCAGAGTAGCAGCATTATTATTTGAAGGGACATTAGATCTTGTTTTTGAACTTCTTGCAAATGAAGTATGGTTATTTTGGCAGCTTTACATTTTTTGTGCAGTGTCTATTGCTGTAGTAACTACATTCTTAATCTAGTGTTTGGAAACCTTATTCTAGATCCGATTACTAGTTAGATTTTCGAAAATTATGTTACCATTATGGTTATTATTATGACTACGAAGGAAGACTGAAGCTAATGTGATTTGTTCTGTGAAATTGATGATTTAACAAAAAAATCCTTTGATCAACAGGAGGAACTGGAGAGGAATCGCAAGTCTTCAGGTACTTTCATGTTCCCATGAAGTGCATTTTTTAACATTATTAGTAATGCAGCAAATTTTTGAAATTTCTTCTGTCAAAGGGACGGCGTCTGGAGGTGCATCTGGAACAAGAATGCGAGAAGTTGCGTGCCCTACCTGCACAGTCCATCTTCAGGTCCGTCACAGATTATAGGGAGTGTATAGCTGAAATATAAAATGGTCTTGTAATAATTGTTGATTGATCACTAACATAACATATTAAATGAATGTTGAACTGCAGGTTGAAGTTCCAATCTCTGGCTCTGAAACAGTCGAATGTGGAGTGTGCCAGCATGCTTTTCTCGTCAGCGCCAATTGATAGGGAGACAGAGCGTGACCTGTCAAATTATTCTGTTGATAACACTATTTGTTTCCCCAGTTCTATACCAGAAATAAGCGTGTGTGTTCAACTTGTAGATGTTTGTGTGGCTGTGTTGGTAATCGAGGTAGGATGTATTTATTTTTCTTGTACATGTGTGTTCTGAACATGGGAAGTTGTTGCCAAAAATGCTGGTTGTTCGTGAAGAATTCCAACAGAATACTCGTTGGTCCAAACAGCGTGTACTTCTAATCTGACAGTTTCTTAAGTCACGTACTGACCGAAGTTCTATCATGCTCCCTTTTGGGTATAGCTTCTCTGCTCTTGCAGAAACCGAATATGGGATGACTTTGAAGCAATCTACACAACTATATAAGATAAAGAACTGCATGCTCGTGATTACACATGAATATGACGTGTTGACTTGGATCTTTTTTGGCTTCCTGTCTCAGAAAATATATCGTTTTTTCAGCGTGATGCACTTGATATGAACATATCGAGTTGAGTAACGAAATGCTTACGAGCCAAAACACATTATGTTTGATGAATAGATCGTAAGTCTTTTTTAAAATGCATGTGACCGAAATTATCTGCTGACAAGGAAGCTGAACCAAAAGCAAAATCAGACCAAACCGCGTCTACTGATGAGGGCGGACCCAAGCTAGCGACAGTCAAGTCAACCGATCATAGAAATATCTCCTTTCTTCTTTCCTTTTGCTTTGCACACATACTAGTGGGCAGTGGCACCGGCAGCAAGTAGTCTATTCATCTCAGATCTGAAGTTCACTCCCTCTCCCGGTGTTCTCTTCCCAGCGTGGATCCTAAATCGCGGACGCCGGACGAGGAGCGTTCCTCTCCAAGGTCAGTGCACTTGACGAACTGCTTAATTATTCCCAGATACAGCTTCCTTGTGCATCCTTAGTCTGATATTGTTTAGCAACTTCCTTGCTTTTATAATTGCAAGTTGTAATCGATCGCATCGGCAGCTTCTTACATCATCAGCAATTAATGGCCACCGGAGGTATGACCCTGGAGAGCCTACCGAACGAGCTACCATTAGACTTCTTGAGCAAAATCACAAATAACTTCTCCGGTGAGCTACTACTTGGTCAGGGCGCGTTCGGGTCAGTTTATAAGGTAGTACTGTATGATTTTGCCACAACTTTTTCCGTCAATTCAGATGTTGATACGGGAAGGTGCTAAGTTAGATTAGTTTTTTGTGACATTGAACAGGGGATCCTGGACGATGGAGTGGTTGCTGTGAAGAAGCTCGCAGAAAATTCGCCTGTACCACGTGACACAATATTCGCGAATGAGGTTCAGAATATTATGGTGCTCGAGCATGAAAATATCGTCAAGTTGGTTGCCTACTGCCGGGAAGCACAAAACAAATTGGTGCAGAGCAACGGACGATATATTATTGCAGAGATCACTGACACTGTACTCTGCTATGAATACTTGCCTAAGGGGAGCCTTCACAAGAATCTTTTTGGTATGTCATAGGAGTATCATTTACTATCCGGGCTAGTATTATTTTTCATGCACCTTGTTTGGAGTTCTAGCATGACTTTGCATAAGGTCCTCTTTTTCCGCACCAGTAATTTACTGAGCAAAAAGGATATCATCACACGTTATGAATAGAAGAATCGTGCTGTTTTTCTGGTGGAGATTTTTCACTTCACAAGATCTTTGCCGTTGTTATTATTCTGAGATATTGTTATCGTCTTTATCCACCATCTTAGATAAATTATAAAATTCCATGACATGTTACTTCAGGTGAATCCAGTAGCATTGATTGGGATATGCGCTTTAAAATAATAAAGGGAATATGTGAAGGTATACATTTTCTACATACCTTGCCTAGTCCCGTTCTCCATTTGGGTCTGAAGCCTCAGAATATACTACTGGGTGACAACATGACACCGAAAATTGCGGATTTTGGTTTCTCCAGAATATTCGGCCAAGATCAAACCCGAAAGAACACACGAAGTGTCGTGGGATCGATGTAAGTTACTGCATGTCTATTATGATGATATATCAGCTATCTTGTTCCTATACTGTAATGTGAAACTCATTTTCACATCTCCAATTAATGATGCTGATTAGTATCTTGATGTTAATGCCGTTAGTGGGTACATGGCCCCGGAGTATCTGTACAATGGCGAAATCTCGGCTCGGTCAGACATATATAGTTTAGGCCTAATCATAATGGAGATATCCACGAGAGAGATGAATAGTTCTAGCACTGACCAGAAGCATGCAAGGAAATATATTGATGGAGTAAGAATTAATATACCTTATCTTTTGAAGACTAAAATTGAGAATATTCTCTCAGTTGATTTCCTTACATTATGATAGTTTCACATTTTTATGTAGGTAAAAGAAAATTGGACACTGGAGAAAATAATGTGTGAGTACATTGAGTTAGAAGAACATGGTTTCAATCAAGTAGAAGCATGTATCAATATTGGTCTACAGTGTGTAGAGATTGATCAGAAGAAGAGACCTTCCATAGAGAACATTGTCAATATGCTCAATAAGCTTCCAGTGAGCGAGGAGGTATGAAATTCCCTTTGGACACGTTGGCTCCCTGTTGAGAATAGTTAATTCTCTAAATTGCGAAGGAATAATCCTTACTAGTTTTCGTAGGCTGAGCATTTAATATAAAAATTTACATAATTGAACAGATTAACAGTGGTGCCTAGGTACAACTAGATCGATAGGAAATGGCCCACTTGCATTCATGTTTGTATTTAACATTTCAAGAATGATTCATGTTTTAAGATATTATACATTCACCTTTTTTTTTACTTAAATTCATCAGATAGTTTAGTAAAGTTGTTACTTCTCATTTTTTGACACTTAAGTAAATCTGCTACTTCTCATTTTTCATATTTCACACTTTCTTATCTACACTATATTAACGTAGAATTTTTATATTTCGACCGATGCTAACACGTGTCATCAAATTTCAGGTCTCCCTGTCCACGTGAGCACAAAACATCCCACTTTTCAGTGAGAGATGCCGAACATCAAGTAAAACAAGATCAGTGCTACAAAAGTGGATGATGAAACCAATGTTTGCATTCAATAAAGCAAGCCATGATGGCCTTTTTGTAAAAAAGTATTAATGAGAAGTGTATTGTGAACATGACCCATTGATATCACACAATTGCAAATATATTTAGTTTTACTTCCTCTGGAGATTTCTGTACCAAACATCCTTTTTTGTTGTCAAGAGAGAACAATTTTGCGCAGTTATGCCTTTTCATGTCAGTTCTAAATATTTTTTTGTTTTCCCTAAAATTCTTAGTAAGATGTCTACACTATCTA